TTCAAACTTTTTATTGTACATATATGTGAGGTTGAATTACAGGACTTCATTGAGCTTTGAAACAGTCCGCTCTTACAGCTGAAGTTTAGATTAAACCTAAGCACTGGATTAATCCAGATCAATAATTTCTAGATTACTTCTTCAATGCTTTGGTGACTAGTATATAGAACCTGGACAGTCACCAATCAGTTATACGAATGAGAGATAAGCTATTCACCTGATTGACCTAATTTACCAAATGATAATGGATAGAAGTCGTGCTATATCGCTAACTGAAAACTGTAGGAAATTTGGATCATTGGATTTCTATCCAGTGACTCAACAGTGACATCCTGTCCTTGGAACCTGAAGATCCTTGATTGGATCTCTGATAAAGTCAAGGGTGCGCACTGCTAAACAGTCCCATACTAGGATGAATTAGCTGTACATTGTTTCCGAGGTTTCCAGTGATTCTCCAGTTGATGTCAGTCTGTGATGAATACTAACCTAAAATCAACAGACGACAAGACTAAAATCACAGTCCTAAAAGACTGACATTTTTCCGCTCTCATTGCTGTCAGTAAAGGTGTTGTGATAGGTAACTCCTTATTGGAAGAGATAGTTCAGTGTATATGCGAATGGTGAGAGTTCTATGTACATGAATATTCTCATCTTCAATAAACTACGTAAGGTAAAAAGATCATAGAGGCAATATTATAAATATCCAGGCCATAGTTGTTACGAATGTTCTGAAAGAAGTTGAGCACCGAGTCAGGTTTATGAGTTGCCTTATTTATTGATAAGTGTAATTTCCCGTTGCTATACTCGATCAAATTGCTTGGCCCACATTAGAAGATCGACTGCTATGCGCAAACCTGGATACCGTCCCATTTCTCCTTATGTTGTTGTCTGCTTGGTGGAATCTAGGGTGTGCGTTTCTGCCTACTCAGGAAACAGATGAGTAAACCTGGACCGTAGTGAGTGATGGTATCTCTAGTGAGATGCAAACCTAGTTTGCATCCCTTTAAACGCCAAAGTGTTATCTACTAGAATGGGTTTTGATAATTTCATGCACTTTATAGAGTAGTATTCATCACAGAGTAACCTCGCCTGGTTAACCAGTTCACTAGTTGCTAGCCGGTCTTAAACCCGGATAAAGAGGTAAGGTTGGGCATAGGGCTAGCAACCCTACCCCGGAAAACCAACCAATCGCTCAATAAACTTCAAAGCACAAACAAAATATAAAAAATAAAAACAAAATTATTCCTCGCTGGAATCGGAGAGACAAAACGACGCCAGTTGATGAAAGCCTTCGGGAAGCCAGTCGGCTGATGTGTCTTCTCTTCTATCCATGAAATCAAAAGTGAACGTGGGGACATGGAATGTCCGCACCGTGTATGGACCTACCAAGGCTGCCAGATTGCAAAAAAGATGAGGAGGTATGGCATGGAAGTGCTTGGAATCTGCGAAAGCAGGTGGAATGGAAGTGGACTCTCCAAACTGTCAACTGGACAGTCAATAATCTACTCCGATATTGTCACCCACACGACAACCATGAGCACACTGAGTTATGGAGTGGCTATCATGATGTCCCCAACAGCATCGAAGGCTCTCATGCAGTGAGAACCAATCTCCTCCTGCAGGATCAGGATCATGACAGCAAGGTTCAACTCAAAAGGAAGGAAAGTCACAATCATACAATGCTACACCACACACCTACAAATAATGCAGATGAAGAGAAGAAGGAGGAATTCTACAGACAACTGCAAACAGTACTAGACAAGACTCCAGTTGGGGACATCAAAATTCTAATGGGCGACATAAATACCAAACTGGGAGGGGACAACACAGGAAGAGAACTAACCATGAGTAGAGAATCGCCAGGTGAAATGAACGAGAATGGAGAATTGTTTGCAGATTTCTGTACATTCAACGATTTGGTGATCGGAGGCAGTGTGTTCAAGCACAAGGATATCCACAAAACGAAATGGCCACACTACAAATCAGATCGACTTTATCTCAATCTCAAGAAAGTGAAGATGCAGCCTAATTGACACAAGGTCAAGAAGAGGAGCAGATGTAGGTTCAGACCATTATCTAGTGCAAGGAACCTTCCAAATCCAGTTGAAAGCCTTCAAGGAAGTTGGTGATAGACTACAGTTCAAGTTTAACACCCAGAACAGAAACTGAACGACAAAACTACAAAGAAAATCTTCACGTCAGCCATCAAGAAAAAATGGGAGATATCGAGGAACATCCCTGAAGAAATCTGTGTAGAAGAACCCTGGAGCTCTTAGAAAGAGATGTGGAAAGAAACCTGCACAGCCGTATTAGGAAGGAAGAAGAAAGAAGACAAGGAATGGATCTCGACGGATACATGGGAGCTGATAGAGCAGGGAGAGGAGGATGGTGAAGCAGAAGATAAACCAGTGCTAGGATGCCCAACGACATGAGGAACCGAGTACAGTGTATAAAACACTGGACAAAGGAGTGGAGAAGAGTGCACGGAAAGATAAAAGACACTTCTACGAAACATTGGAAAGTGAAGCAGAACAGGCTGCAGGTAGGAGAAACCTGACAACATTGTATCAAATAAACAGGTTACTATCTAGGAAGAGATCAACACAGGTGAAACCAATAAAAGGTGGTGAGGGAAATCTAATTACCAAAGGGGAGAAACAAAAGAAATAATGGTCTGACCACTTCAAACAGCTCTTGAACCGACCACCAACTGCACTTCGTCCAGAAGTACCACCAGCATCCAAGCCACAGAACTACCAGTGAATACAAGCCCTCCAACGAAAGTTGAAGTCCTGAATGCCATAAAGCTGCTGAAATGCGGGAAAGCAGCAGGACCAGATGGAATTCCTCTAGAAGCACTGAAAACAGACACAGACACAGCAGAAGCGGACAAGCTGACACCTCTATTGTAGAAGGTTTGGAAGGAAGGAAAGGTACCTTCCGATTGAAGGAAGAAGAGCTACCTTGCCAAATTCCCAAAAAGGGAGGCCTAAGTCTTTGCAAGAAACAGCGAGGAATCATGCTGCTATCCACACCAAGCAAAATATCAAGCCGCATCATCCTGGAGAGATTAGAGTATGTGCTGGATTCAAAACTACCACCAGAACAGGCTGGTTAGATTCAGGAAGAACAAAACATGTGTGGATCAAATTGCAACGCTTCGCATCATCATAGAACAGAGCATAGAATGGCAGTCAACTCTACACCTTACCTCAACTTCATCGATTTTGAAAAGGCCTTTGACAGCGTCGACCGAGAGGTAATTTGGCAGCTGCTTCAACACTATGGAATACCATAAGCCTTTATCAACCTCATTCAACAACTATATGAAGACGCCACATACTGAGTGATTCACAATGGGAAGCTCAGTGATGCTTTTGAAGTGAAGACAGGAGTAAAACAAGGTTGTCTACTATCACCCATGATATTCCTGATTGTGTTGTGGTCAACTGGACCATGCAACAAACAGTGAGGAGCTGTGAGAAGAGGGTGATACGCTGGGCCGCAGAAAAGAACCTAGAAGATTTGGATTTCGCCAGTGATGACTTGTGTCTAATGTCACACAAACTTGAAGATCTACAGGCGAAATCCAACAAGTTGACAGAAGAGGCAGAGAAGATGAGACTCCCATTAGATGAACGTAGAGAAGACAGAGGTGATGAAGGTACCCAACCAACCCCACCACCAACAACAACAAGCTCCAATCACCATCAACGGGAGAAACCTAAAGGAAGTAGCCTCATCCACCTATCTATGCAGCACCGTTTCAACTACAGGTGACGGCACAGACGAGGATATCAAAGCCAGGATCGGGAAAGCAAGACTGGCGTTCATTAAGCCGAAATCAGTGTGGAGATCCATTGCACTCAGCATGAAGAACAAGATCTAGATTTTCAACATCAATCCAGTCAAGTCAGTGCAGTGGTTCAGAGACCTGGCGCGTTACGAAAAGCATTTCTAACAAACTACAGACATCCACCAACAACTGTCTACACTGGCTCGTTACTGAAGCTCAGGTGGGTGGCCAGAAAGAATAAGCAACAAGGAACTCTGGAAACGAACTAACCAAGAACCTATTGCTCAACAAATATGCACTGGAAGGAAGTGGAGATGGATTGGGCATACACTGAGAAGACCATTTGGGGACATCACGCGCCAGGTCAGGCGCTGGAGTAGAACCCAGATGGGAAACGACGAGTTGAGTGTCAGAGGCGAGGGTGACATGGAGGAGATTGTTTGAGGAAGAAATGAGAGCTTATGGGCTGTCGTGGAGCCAGGTTCAGAAGATTGCAGAGAACACAGTGAACTGGAGACGTGCTAGTGAAGCCCTATGTTCCACTAGGAACCCAAGGGACAAATGATAATAATTCATCACAGAATGACATCAGTTTTGAAGAAATGGGAGCACTGGACAGCTGTTTCTTCCTACTATGCGACTCCTCAGCACTATGTACCCACGACCCCTCCAGGGACCGAACCTAGGGACAAAATGTCACGAGTACCTCAGTGGACCAGAATCAGATGATCAACATTTTCCTACTACAGTTAGTTCCTGATTCAATATGATCATCATTCATCACCACATGACAGAGGCTGAAAAATATTAACCACTGGATTCCAGCATGGTAACATGCTTGTCACAAGATCTGATGGTCTTGGGTTTGATCTCCAGTGCAGTCATGGGTATACAGTTCCGAGGAATCCTATTCTAGGGCAAAACAGCTGTTCACTGTTCTCAGGTTTCCAATGGTTGTTCAAACGATGTCATTCCATGATGAATACCACCTTCAAATTAATCATTCTCCACAAACCTCCCAACTGAATCGCGTCAAAATTCACGTAGTATTTCGTCAACGTTCCATGTAAGTGTCTACTGCCACTCAGTTCGTTTCACCTAAGTGAAGAGGTACACTTGTAAAACTAACAAGTCCTTTATAAGTAGTGAGTCATATTTAAGTTCATAGATAAAAAAGGAAAAGTAGAAAGGTATATATACTCACCGATCTAATATTACAGGATCCGATGGAGTTTCATTTCGATTGCCACAACTTTTTCGCTCACAACACCGACTACACATCACTTCGTGTGTAAGTAATACTCGACACATTTCAGGGTTTTTATCTTGCCCCTCATAGGCAATAGGCTTAATGAGATAGGAAGGAGAAAACAAGAGATGATTAGGTATATAAATGAATTCATAAGTTCACTTTGATATCAAGTGAGAATAAATTCCTGCATTGGTACACCGTAATAACGTGGTTAAGCTGATTTCATAACCTATTTCCTTCAACTAAATAGAACAATGAAGCCACTTACCTAAACACTCCTAAGATAAATGACTTTCACTGCTTTTTAAACATTTTAGCTGAGTTTCATTGAAGTTTCAGTGAGATTTACATGTACCGTCTTGATCACTTCACAAAACTTCCCATTCGACTTGAATTCATATGAATAAATCATGTCTTACAGCCTAATCAACCATACTTAAGTTGGTGGTATTTTAACGAATCTACTAGAAAATTAACAATTTTATCCCCCACTAGTGTACTTACAATTATAAACTCTGATACAAGGTGTTTTCCCAATAATCCAGGAGGTCGTAAAACAAAAGACGTATAGCAAAGCATCATTCTTTTCACCGACATCATTCTCAAGCTGTACAATCGTATATAAATATTTTGTTCACATGAAGTAGCAGAAAAAAATGTTTCGTGATATATTTTGAACGAAGTTCACATGCAATCGGAAGAAAAAAAGAAATCACTTGATGTTCGAAATAGTAATGTGAAGAAGACTTATCGAGACGGAAGTAGTATTTGGTTGCTAAGCTGAGTTACGTAACACGGTTGATGTAAAGAGAAATCAGGATTGTAGGAGTAGAAGAATGTAATGTGTGAGATCTGAATGAAGAGATTTTTTAGAGGTAAAAATGTACTTATAGGTTATGTCCATCGGAGCTGAAACGACTGGGCAAATTTTTTGAACGCTGAGTTCAGGCTTCAAAATATTAATTAACATAGTTTCCTCAGTTTGAAGAAGTTTTAGGCATACACTTTTCAGGAGATTTGTGCGAATTCTATAATGACACTGAGGCTCCATCAAATGTCCGAAAATAGAACTATGAAGTGTCCTCCTTTCTCCTTTGCAGAACGAGGATGGTATACGTTGGGAAATGTGTTTGGAAAACGAACGCCGAGTACAGCCAATAAACCTTACTCCATGAGGGCAGGTCAACTGATAAACACACATTGAAGTGGTCAAGGGAACTACCTTATCCTTTATGCAAAATCGAAGCATTGGGTAAGTAGACACAGTTAATCTGTGTTTAGCAGCATAGAAAGTCTTTCTCAATGAGTTTCTCAATATATTCGATGATGTGTCCCCGTTGAACTGTAAGTTCATGAAAAGAGGCTTCTTAGGAGCTGTAGAAGTAGAATCATTATTTGCTTTTGGTTTCATAGTTTTAGCAATGAAACGCTCTGGATTACTGGTTTACAACCAAAACATTTTTGAAAAAATTAAGTTCTTCCAAAGTATCAGGATTGTAGATAGTATGGATCCTATAGCACATAGAACGGATTAGATTTTATTTGGTGCATAGAGGCACCCAACTATGAAAATTTGTAAGTTGTTCCTCCCAGCTGGGTTTTCTGTAGAGAGATCTTTCAAGTAATCCATTGTCTTGTCTTTTTTTAGCTGCACATCTAAAAAGGATATCTTAGAATTAAGAATTAATGTGAACTCTACTGAAGGGTGGCAGTTACTAAATTGAAACGGGATATCTTCTAGATTATCCGTACTGTCGGAGATGATGAAGGTATCTCTGTGCATTGCTTACAAAGATTGAAGAGGATCATTCTGCTAAGGTGTGAGTTCTCTAGCTTTGATATGAAGAAGGCTGCAAGTGAAAGGTTCACTGATGAACCTATTGCTATTCCATCTTTTTGCCAGTATATTTCATTATTGAAGTAAAATTGGACGTTCAAGAAGGATCTTAATAATAGCTCCTTCAGATAATTGGTTGGTATTCCAACATTCAATCCATTAGAATCAACATAGTCACATATGTAACATATTCTCTCAGTCAGTGGAAGGCTTGTAAATAATGAGACATCTAAAGGGAATATAATTTTGTCTGAGCAATTTACATTTACATTACATTCAGGAGGTTTTCGATCAGCATACACTGTTCCAGTTTCCATTTGCTTCTAAACCACCGAGTTCTGCTCTAACTAGTTGTCTCCAAAAGGCAGTTACATAGGAGAAGAAGTGAAGAACAGAATACTTATATGATAACTACCGGTGATTTAGTACACCTTAGCTAATGTAGTTCACTTAGTGGTTGGAAAGTTATATCCAAGAAAATAGCATTCTGTGGTAATACTCATGAAGAGAATATCTTTTCCTTTTTTAAAGGTTGATAGTTCGAGATGGCTGAGACAAATTCTATGTCTTAAGACAAGTTGTAGATAAACTGATATGATATTCTTGTTCTTCTGCGTGGAAGAGATGTAGTATGTAATAAGTTTAACAATACAGAATGCCTACTAAAGGGACTGAACACTATTCAAAGTTGTGTCGGCTTATTCTTTGAAATATAAAACAACATACCGGAAATATAACTAAATGGAAAGGAAGATGGTTTGATAAAATTAGTCTACAAGAAGCCTAGTTAAACTCAGTATCCCTTGAGTTTCTACCACTTCTGTTTAAAGCACCACAAAAGGGGTTCCTTTAAACATGTCTAAGCAACGGAAAAATTGAAAACAGTCACTCTTTTCATACTATTGAACAGTTTGAGAAGTTGGAAACCATTCACAGTGATCTGTAATGTTTCGCTAGGTAGATCAGAGTGATCTCAACACCGGATAGCAATTTTGCTCTTTTGTAACCAAGCTAACTCATTAGTGGTGTATCCGAATAAATTCAGCTCACAAAAACGGGCTAGCTGACTTCCATGAGCAGATATACTTAAAATGGGATGATCAATTTGCAAATGATTCACAAATTGCAAGGCCCACGTTGACATTTTTCAACTATGGTGCCAACAAACTTATGACAAAGATATTAGTGAATAATGAATACTCGTTGGAGTTTACAAATCGCTGAAGAAAAGAAAACAACTAAACGTTTAGACCTACTCAGTAATTCATCCTGAAAAAAAGACATATGCACTAAGCTGTGACTTAGGAGAAAATGAAAAGTATTACTTAAAAACGAAGAATTCATTCCTTTATCAAAAGGAATGTACTATACAGACAAACTCACTTCTCTCAAGATAGTGAGACCTGAGATTTTTAACGTAAACCTCAACATTATGCAGATAATTACGGTATAAACCCATTGGGTTTATGATCTTTAATGTGTGTGAACATACATACACTCGAATACTCTGACTATGAATTCAATGATGAATGACTATAAATGTATTGCTGAAATATTCTAATGTAATAAGATAAATAAGTAGATTTCGTGCCTGTTGACACTCATCAGCAAGTTGTATGTGCAATCGTAAGGGGACTTATTCTCTCTGAGAGATCCGAACCGATGTCAGCCAGTACTGCAGTCAGAGACGTTAGCGTTTAGTTATTCCGGTCACAACCGACGTCTTTTAAGACTGGAATAGACATACATTTGTCAGTCACTGGAGGATAATCAACGTCATCTTGTCTAGTTTGAAGGGCTGGCTAAATCATAACGATCGTCATTTCAATTCAGACACCAAGTTAGGAGACTCAAAGCGGACATGAGTTTCTGCGATGTTATAGGTACATCTAGCTAATGAGCTGATAAGTGTGAAATTTAGGTCATGGAGAGCTTCCTACCGACCGATTATTTCTATCCAATTAACATCAATCAAAGTGCACCATGTTGATGACTCTCCTAATCTTATAGCTACATTGCAAAGTGGTCGATAGAATTCGGTCAACACTCAGTAGTTAAGAACATGAAGTTGGTTCCAATCTAGGGGGCGTCCATTTAGTGAAATTGGTCCATCAGAGAACTAATTTATCTATTCATTACTGTCTATGTAGTCTGTTTTTTTAAAATCAGGACACACTATGATAGAATTTTACAATGTTCAAGTTTATTTATCGGCTAGAAAAATTAGAACAATAACTGATAATGGCTAAATGAATCATATTTTGAAATAAGTAGGATATGCAAACAAGTGGTTGGTTGTAGGGTGCAGTAGTTCACTCTGCCCTACTACGTGGTGGTGAAAAGTCATCATTAAAGGTAAAGAATGTGATAGGAAACTTTAACTGCTGGACTACTATTGTCTTTGGAGGATAGACTGAGTTGTAACTAAAAAGAGGTTGCAAACCTTCATCGACTGAGATGGCTAGGAAACATGTTACGCCATGAAGTGTTGTCTGAAGTGATATGAGGCTGAAAAAATGTCATAATTAGCCAGAGCAAACGTCAAGTCAGTTCATTAAGTCTCCTACTATTAGTCAGAATTGTGTGGGAAAATATAAAGTTACCTGTTGGAATCTGCATAACAACCTAAAGTGAGGGTGATATGGTTGAGAATTGATCTCAGTGGCTCACATGCATCCACATATTATCCTCATCTTAATTGTCATATCGCATTTCATTTTTCTTATACCAGGATGCCAGGTAACCTCGCCTGGTTAACCAGTTCACTAGTTGCTAGCCGGTCTTAAACCCGGATAAAGAGGTAAGGTTGGGCATAGGGCTAGCAACCCTACCCCGGAAAACCAACCAATCGCTCAATAAACTTCAAAGCACAAACAAAATATAAAAAATAAAAACAAAATTATTCCTCGCTGGAATCGGAGAGACAAAACGACGCCAGTTGATGAAAGCCTTCGGGAAGCCAGTCGGCTGATGTGTCTTCTCTTCTATCCATGAAATCAAAAGTGAACGTGGGGACATGGAATGTCCGCACCGTGTATGGACCTACCAAGGCTGCCAGATTGCAAAAAGATGAGGAGGTATGGCATGGAAGTGCTTGGAATCTGCGAAAGCAGGTGGAATGGAAGTGGACTCTCCAAACTGTCAACTGGACAGTCAATAATCTACTCCGATATTGTCACCCACACGACAACCATGAGCACACTGAGTTATGGAGTGGCTATCATGATGTCCCCAACAGCATCGAAGGCTCTCATGCAGTGAGAACCAATCTCCTCCTGCAGGATCAGGATCATGACAGCAAGGTTCAACTCAAAAGGAAGGAAAGTCACAATCATACAATGCTACACCACACACCTACAAATAATGCAGATGAAGAGAAGAAGGAGGAATTCTACAGACAACTGCAAACAGTACTAGACAAGACTCCAGTTGGGGACATCAAAATTCTAATGGGCGACATGAATGCCGAAATCACCCAACAAATATCCAGAAGAAAGTGGAGATGGATTAGTGAGAAGACTGCTGGGAACAGAGTGAAATGGAGGCATGCTGCTGAAGCTGTATATTCCACTAAGAACCCAAGGGAAAAGTAATATAAGTAAATAATGATGCCAGGTGGCATATAGACTCTGAATGTCTGACTAACCCCTTTCCTTATGAACTTAATATTGTTCACTTCTTTCCTTAGTTTCTCTTTATGTTTCTTCTTGTTGCCCTGCAGCTTGATGTGATGATGTAAGGTGTAGCAGTCCAATGGTGACATTGTCTTATTGACTGATAGACAATGAGAACTAATACTACTACTCACACTATTAATACTGCTACTACTATTCACACTATTATTACCACCATTTATATATTGTCAATTTACTTACATTATACATTCTCATTTGAAAACTGATGACGTCTTACAACGACAAAAGTATCATTAAGACACGGGGATCTTGAGTACTAGTACACAATACTTTCCGTTTATTCACTTCTGGAAATTATAAAACTGAAATATGCCTACTAACGACTTTGTACACCAGTACGCAGTAGAAAATTCGCTTTCTGTAATCCACTTCTGGAGAAATTAGAACTTTAATATGTTATGAAAGAAAACTTGAAAGGATCTAAAATTATTTATTATATTTTTGATAAAAGTCTTAAGAGAATATAAACCAACTCACTTGTTTTGTAGATGAATCCACCAGTCGAATATACAAGTCCTGATCTTGTTGAACACCTGGATCAATGTTTAGTGTTTTTTATTAAAATAAAAATAAGGTTACATTTGTATTGAAAACATTATTTGTTAGCAATATAAATAACTCCACTCACAACAAACTGAACAAGATGAGATGGTTGTGGTTTGGCGGACTAGTACTGATACTGGATGATGATTGAAGGTGGAACGAAAGTTATAGACCGCAGCGGGATTCGAACCAATGACCATCGGATTTGCGGCCCGATGCTCTACCAAATAAGCCATGAGCTTTGACTGCTGAACACCTTCAATCATCACCCAGTATCATTGCTCTTCAACCAAACTATAACTACCTCAGGTAGTCAAAAAAGTGATAATCAATACGATGCTGTACCTCTCTAATTCAGTTAGATTTGGATTTAGATGAGTTGTGCTGACTGGGAAGCCAGTGTCAGTAAGATCAAGCGGTAGTAATGCACTACGAATTCACTTGGTAGTCGGGCTGACTGAACGTGAGAAAAAAATCTAGTCAGTGACTGGACCTCATAGCTCAGTTGGTGGAGCACCGGGCTGGAAACCCCGGTGGTCGCTGGTTTGAACCCGACGGTGGTCCAAATTTTCATTTCATCTTCGTTCATCACTCAGTATCCACTATACATTAGTAGTCATCATATATCATTGTTATCCAAAATTGAACCTTTTCCCGTAATGCCAAAACTTCTAAGCAAACAGGTGTCAAGTGTTAGATGGTTGGCGAAGATCGGCAAGAAGGTATGATTTGCCTGGGCTTTGTACTTGTCGGTACTTACCGGGAACTTATGTGTGCAACCTGGAGGGAACTGATGTACCTAAAGAGGTTTGAACTCACACCACTAAATGCTGAAGTCAGAGGTGTTAACACTGAGTTATTCAGTTCACCACTGACCTCCCGTACAAATGGACTAGGTATGATGATTAACCAGCAAGATGAGTTGAAATGGAAGCCTTAAGATTTTGTTCTGGATCATTTCGATATTTAGGTCTGGAAGCAATAAATTAAATTGCCTTGTTGTACTTAATGATACAGTGAGGCAGATCGTCATCGCTATCGACTTATACAAGACTAGAGATCTAAGATTTCCTGGAGCATGTCACCTGATTTTCATTTCAGTTAAGTTTCTGGACAGAGTTCTCATCTGATCTAAATCTACTTGAATTGGAGAGAGGGAGAACCATATCGTTTATCAATCTGGCTATCTAAAATAGCCGTAATTTGGAGTGACTTTAAAGGCCACCCTAGCAACAACTGAAATAACTAATTAAACTTCTTTCTTTATAAAAATCTACCCTCCTAAACGAAAATTAGGAACCTAATTGGTTATTTCGATCTTTAATAGGATGGCCTTTAAAGTTGCCCTTAGTTTGCCAGATTATATCGATACTTGGTGATGATTGGAGGTGAAATAAAAATTTTGCCCCGGAAGGATTCGAATCAGCAACTTCAGTCACCACCCAGTATCAATAATACAAGTCTGCCAAGCCACACCTACCTTAGTCTAACTGATAAAACGCAAATTCCCTAAACTCTGGATGACATTTTTTCTATCACTCCCAGAACAATACTTTCAGACGAAACGGTTATTGCATAGAAATGATGTTAATAAAAACAGTAAGATAATAATATGAAGTAACTAGCTGGTTCTGGATGGACATCCGGTCCATAATGAAAAATCAGTGGAAATGTAAATGTAATTTTGGTGGTGCTGCTGGTTCATTCAGACGGTACAAACATCTACAACTCAAGCCAAGCATCTGATGGATAGAAATTTGACGTACTTTTTTGCTCCGAAAAGTCCATTTCCACATAACGTGACGTTTTTTCTCTGTTTTCTCTGTTACATCACTACGATAGTTCCGGTTGTATTCAGTAAACAGAAATATATATATATTACGCATACCACTTATAATTGGTAATGTATGATTGAAAAGTATTCTCCTATTTCTAGCTTGACACTACTTCAGTGATGCGTATACGAATCTCAAGCATTAGAAATTTTTCGCTGTTCAGTGTAGGTAAACAAGACAGACTGGATTCAATGTTTCCATACCTCTAAGCATCTACTGTATGGAGTAAACTGTTTATCATTGACCTTGGTGACCACATTGCAAATATGATCGATAGAACTCGATCTGCACTCAGGACTAGACAGGATGAAGTTGGTTACTCTCCCGTGGCCAGTCACTGTATGTTACCTAGCCACACAGGAGGTCAATCGTGACCCGGATAGCTCGATGGTAACGTCGCTGACTAAAATACTGGGTGACATAGGTATGAATCTTAAGTGGAACATCAGTTCCGCTGTGGTTGCAGATACGCCTTGGTGATGAATGCCAACAGATACGAAACACATGTATAAGCTCCCTCACCGATTCCCCCCAACCAACTAACACCACTATTCGTCTATTCATTAATTTAAATAAGATGAGCACAAATCATTCACAAGATGCAAATACATGCAGTTAATTAACTACTTTCATTTCTTTTCTCTTTCTGTTATTGAACTTGTCCCAAACAACTGTCATTTTACCATGATTATTATTATTACCTCTTTCATTTTACTGTAGACACGTGCAGTGTCGGTATCGTTGTGTTTGATAAATGTTACATCATTAAATAACGCTAAAAAAGACTACTTATACCACTATTAACAGTTGAACTGACAACCAAGAAGTTAGTTGAATGACTACAAATGATGTACCACTCGCATTTATTGACATTCTCCATAATATATAAACATATCTCTGTGAATACGTATATGATTCAATAGGCAGGTCTCAAATCTTATTTTCGAAAAAGAATGCTTTTGTAGACAATGAAGTGGCTTCTTATCTTAACTTCCAACGTCAAAACACGTGGCTGTCCGTTGTTTCTCGTGATTATTAAGTAGAAAATAATCTGTAATTCACTATTAGAGTAATATTACCGCCAAAATGAAAGAAAACAGTTTCATTAATCACATGGAGTCTCAGTGAAAGTAAATAATGTGAGTAGATTGAGAGGGAATCATTCTTCTGCACAAGAATCATTTTTTTGAGTCTTTAAAAATATCAGAAGAAAAATATGCTTTAACAGTTTCCCTTAACTCTGTGATGTTTAGTTGGTATCATATCAGGTTTGACGACTAGTTCAGCCTTAAACGATGAAGAATAAGGGAGAAACTGAAAAAAATTGAGACAAATACTGAAAGATTATTAGGCTAAAAGTACCTAAATTCCAGGCAGTCTCAAGCCTGAAATCTCGATGATGATTCCGACGTAAATACAAAAATCTTTCGACGAGTTTTGAGCTCATTCACCCTGAGATCTCTTATTTGCCTGGAAATACCGATGCATCATCTATGCTGTGGCTTGTATTCTGATAATAAAAAAGATATAAGTAGACAGACACCGACAAAGTCGGACTTATAATAACTTAGATAACCCTTATATTTCAGTAAGCCACGGCGTGTTTGAAATGAAATAATTCTAACGTTTTGTACGGAGGTCTAGTCCGATCTTCTTCCCTGAAGATTACCTAGTAACCTATTTTAAACAAACCGTGGACTTAATAGTTCAGGCGGACAGCATTTGACGCCAGTAGTAGTAGTGTGAGTAGTAGTAGTAGTAGTAGTGGTGCTAATACACGAAGAAATGTTTTCGTTATAAAAGTTCCAGAATTTTTGAGCAGCGATGAGTTGCATTTCTACAGTGGTTCCTGTAATATTCATATATATATATATATATATATATATATATATATATATATATATATATATATATATATATATATCTGGCAGTAGAGAAACACATCCCTGGCTTATCCTGAGAATCGGACTCAAATTACTGAATGCTACACATTACAAGCTTATTCAGTCTCTGCAGATTTCTTTCAGGATCTATTTATTGACAAAAATTCATCATTAATACTGAAATGAAGTCGGTCACCGATTGGCACTATTTAACGAACTCATGTATATTTTGTTGTTGATACTTGTGATCTCCCGCTGCTACTTTAGATTAAATTGTTGGACCTCTGTTGTTGTCTCGTTGGTGACTAAAAGTTAAATCCCGAACGCTCGTTTCGTTCTACTCGTTAACTGGCTGCAACGTCGCCTCAGTGAGTGGTTTTGTTCCCACTGGCAACCAAACCGAGTACCGTCGATCCAAGCACCAGAGGGTTATCCACTAAACCACCTCCTCTGCAATGAGTATCAGTGCTTGATTGACACTTTTAATCTCTAATCGGTATGCAATAAGCCTATTTGTTGGCACTCTGGTGTTTGAGGCGATGAGTACTGGGCTCCCGTCTTAATGGAAACAACTACTTACTGAAGTACATGTGCATCCGGCTGAGGAGCCCTAGGTAGGATAAAACCCACTTTCTAGACTCCACTGCTAACGGTAAGCAAACAACATTGTGTATATTTTGGTTTCTGAAGGTTGTTTTCAAGTTTCTTTACCTAAATAGCCGACTAAATTATCATTAAACCGTGTTAGAGATTGGAATCCACTCAGTAGGAAGTCCTGCTTGATCTAAGTTTCATGCCGGTTGGAATTCATCACCAAGGCTTATTTGCTACAGTGAGGAAACTAGTATTTCTCAGGCAATTCGAACCTGTGTCACTCAATGCTGAAGTTAGACACTTAAACTCTCAACCATTCAAGCCATGATTTACCCTTTGTATAAGCGTATTATGTATTTAAATCAGTTGCCAGTAGGTAATGCATACAACTGTCTGGTCTGTAGTGCTTAACAAAGAGTGAAGTTTATAGAAGATGAGACAATTAACTATAAAAACTCCTATGAGAATTTACTGAAGAAAAAAAGCTTAGAACTTACCATTAGCAAATAGTAAACGTATCCGATAATGAATCCCATTATTGGTTTTCTCACCCTCTGGTTCCTGTAACACACGAATCAAGCGAGGATTAGCAACACGTATAAAAATTTTACACAGAGTTAATAAGATATATAGCTATGGGTTATTATTACTGCTATTATTATTATTATTGTTATTATTATTATTATTATTATTATTATTATTATTAGTAGTAGTAGTAGTAGTAGTAGTAGTAGTAGTAGTAGTATTGTATCAAGCTCACTAACAGACATTTTATACACTGAACTCTCATAAACAATCATAACAGAGGAGTCGGTATAACTGTTCATCAGTCAAGTTTACCATAAACACACACACTTTTCGCAGTGAAGTGAAGATGGTGAATATCAAATATTTTCCAGACTGAGAGGAAGGTATAAGGTAGATGTATTTGTGCTACAACAATCTATTCTGTCCACTATCATCTAGAGTCTTGAATCCCCAAATTCCTTTGTCTTACAGTCCTCAGTTATCAAGCCTAAACTCCTGTGTACGGCTTAGATCGATTGTCAGAGATGTCATATACTCGTAAAGTACATGATGAAGACATATAGAAATGTGTGTAGCGTTGTTCATCTCAGCCTTAAATGTGTCTAATTGGTTCGTCTGCCTCAAACAGTATATTACATAACTTCATGACTGTTTGACAACTACTGTTATACGTAAGTAAATTTCTTTTTTGACTGTAAAATTTCAAACAACTAAACATTCTCATAATATTTATAAAAGGCAACAATGTGAACCAAGAATATTTCTTTCAATAAATTCTCTATAAGGATCTACTATCATAAAATGCATTTGTACCGCATGAAATCAAGATATATTAGGGGGAAGATACATTTCCAAAATGGAGTGAGATCTAGGGACTGTAAGGAAATCAATTTGTCTTTGTTAAATTTGTCAATATTGAGATGATACATATACAGATGAATGATATGACAGTGAACAAAAAGATAACGAATAAAAAGGCGAGAGTGACCCTTAGTTTACTGAAGGCCATGGAAGAAGTAACACTTGGACATGTTCTTTCTGAATACAGAGTTTAGGCGTGATTAGTCATATTGAGACAGCCTCCTCTATGTTGAGCAGGAGATGGCGAGCCACATGTGGTACAGTTCTTGGAATACGGCGAATGACATCAAAAGCTTTATCAGGATGTATATGATGCTCTGCGTCGACCAGGTACACTAGGACTGGACTTTTCATCACTTTCACTTAGCCCTTTCTAAACCAAGCTGGTAAATGTTCTGATATCCGGAGACGCACTTACTTAATCATATGCCATATGAAACTAGTTTCACAGGAACAGGTAAATAGATATATGCAAGGTGAAGAGCTACGATTAGGTGGGCTATTCTTTAGTCTAGGATTGAGTATTGTTCGACTACTGAATGATATGCAAAGCCAACCTGCATAAAACGTTCTCTTCACTGGTTTAGATAGACGTTGTGATAGAATTTCACTTGTAGCATTTCTGCTGAACTGTGAGCACAGAAACTAAGGTTTCTTCTCCACTGTCATCAGTTCTCCTTTAGGACCAATGTAATTGATGTTAGCTTTGATGAACTTATTGGGATATTCGTTTCCACACAGTAGTTCTTTTTCCATATACTCCTCGAAACAAATCGATCCTACTCTAAATACCAAGCACCTGATTATACTACGTTTGTACTTCATTGATACGAAGCTGAGAAAGTGAGTATACTGTGCTTTAGACGTTGGTTTTCTCTGTATACTCCTCAGTATAGAGCCATGGGGTGGAATAAAAATCTGGTCGGTAGTTGGACCTAGTAGCTCAGTTGGTAGAGCACCAGGCCGATAATCCGTTGGTTGCTGGTCTGAATCCGGCCGCCGTCCAAATTTTAATCTCAGCTTCAGTCATCACCCAGCATAAATATAATGTATATGAAGTGAAATTAGCATCTGGATAACACAGCTCAGGTGTTAGAGCAGCGGGTACCTCAGAGAGTCAAAGTGAGAATTGCTTAAATCCCATAGAACACTAGGAAGTTCATACAGAGTAACTTTTCATATTTACACGCACACACACACATACACATATGCTCATTCATATAAAAATGATTCTGACTCAGTGGCTCAATGGTAACATGCTGGCCATGGAACCTAATGGTCCTGGATTCGAGCCCTGGCAGTCATAGATGCGCATTGCTAAACAGTCCCATACTAGGGGGAAACAGCTGTCCAGTGCTCTCAGGTTTCCATTGTTTCTCCAACTTATATCTATCCATGATGGGTACCAACTTGAAAGTTACTACAATTACATAGGACTTGATATTCACGCTTTATAGTATAGCCAACACACGCTATTAGTTTGCGAAAACGTTGAGATAAACCAGAAGAAGGTGATTTAAACAGATTGCTTTTTAATGTTCATAACTAGCCAAGTTCAAACGTCTCCAGAATTATATTCATACCCACATCTAAATAAAATTACTCTTCATTATATCGGGAGATTTTTAATTAAAGTTTTCATTACGGTTTACTTGTCCCCCCCCCCTCTAACAGACAAAAGTAAGTAATAATCATTCATACGGTTGCGTGCTGATCCAAATATATGCAAAAATCAACAAGAATTTGTTCAATATTCAATTCCCGCTGTGGTTCAACTGCCACAGATGAATTTGATTCTTAATATTTGTAAACAGTTAGGATATTCAATTGCGTGTTTTCTGACCAACTGGTCTGTCTGAGGATAGTTTTGATCAGAAAGTGATAACCAAAGACCATTGAAAAACCATTTTTATTTGAGCCTAGTTTGAGAATACCTAACAGTATGCACTTGTGATGTTTACAAACTGGGTCATTAGGTTCCATGACGATCAGCCATCTGGAATCCAATGGTTTAAACAATCTAAATTCTGTTTATTGATTGATTATGCTTTATATTCTAACTTCAGGAAAAGTAAATCATGTGAGGATCAAATCACAACGTTATGCTATGCATCATCATAGAACAGAACCATAGAATGGCAGACAACTGGATCCTTACCTCAACTTCATCTACTTTGAAAAGGCCCTGCTTCGATCGAGGCGTCAACCGAGAAGACATTTGGCAGGCAGCTGCTTCAACACTACAGTTTCAGTGCCACAAACCTTTATCAACCTCAGTCAACAGCTATATGCTATATGAGGATGCTACATGCCAAGTGATTCACAACACAATGGAAAGCTCAGTGATGCCTTCGAAGTGAAGATAGGAAGGAGTAAGACAAGGTTGCTGCCTACTATCATCACCGATGATCTTCCTCAATGTGATCGACTGGGCTGGACTAGGCTGGACTGGATCATGCAACAGACAACTGTGAGGAGCGAAAAGATAACCATACGTTGTTTGATCGATGAAAAGACCCTAGAAGAAGATTTGGATTTCGCCGATGATGATCTATGTCTAGTGTCTTGTTGCACAAACTCAAAGATCTACAGGCGAAAACCGACAAGTTGGCAGAAGAGACGAGACAGAGAAGACGGGACTTCCTTCAGGTGAACGTAGAGAAGACAGAGGTGATGAAGATACCCAAACGACAACATCAACAACGACAAACACCAATCAACATCAACGGGAGGGATCTAAACAAAGTTGTCTCTTCCACCTAACTGCTTACCTAGGCACCATCGTCTCAACTACAGGCGGCGGGGGCACAGATAAACGCGTGAAAGCCAGGATCGGGAGCACAGCAAGACAGGCCTTGCCTCATCAAGCTGAAATCAGTATGAAGATCTACTGCACTGAACTCCACTCCACTCCACTCAGCATAAAGCCTGAACGAGATCCGGATTTTCAACACTAATTCAGTCAAGTAAGTCAGTTTTTCTATGTGATAGTTGAAAGACTTGGCACGTTCCGAAAAGCATTCCCAAAGAACTACAGACATACATCATTAGCTGCCGCCTACACTTACTGGATACTGAAGATCAGATTAGTGGCCAGAATAATAAGAATAAGCATCAAGGAACTCACTCTGGCTGGCAACGATGCAACCAAGAACCTATCACCTAATAAGTATGCAGAAAAAAGTGGAGATGGATTGGATTAAACAAACACTGAGAAGACCTTTTTGGTGACATCACGCACTTTGCCATACCATCGAGTAAAAAGAAAATGGGAAAAAACGAGCTGGGCCTCCGAGGCGAGGGTGACATGCAGGAGATCGTGTGAGAAAGAAGTGAAAGCTTGTGGGCAGTCGTGGAGCCAGGTTGACAAGACTGGAGAGAAGAGAGTGAAATGGTGACGTGCTAGTGAAGCTCTGTGTTTCACTAGGAACCCAAATGACAAATAATAAAAATAATCAATGCTTTATCTTCACAGGATTCTTAAGCGATAATCTGCTCTGATTCGCATGGTAAATGTGAGCAACTTTGATAAAAAGGCAACAAATTTGCATTTTCTTCTATCTTTTTTGAACTTGAAACAGTCCAAATTCATCATGAGTTCAACTACAGTTCAACCTGATAACTACTTCGATCACTGCAATCAAATGTAATGAACCATTCAAAAAAATAGTCTACAGCTTCATTTTAACTTTTTAACCAAGGGGATATCAGCTATTCCGGTTATTGTTCTATGCTACTGACCGGTATCATACACCACCAGCTTCTAAACTATGGATATTTTATTTCTCATTTTTTAAAGAAAAATATTATATCTGGTGTTTGATGCGATTGGCCGTGGTTTCGAGTCTCAGTGGGACCTGGGAGGCAGGTGTGTACAGCTGATGAGTCCCAACTCGGACGAAACACGTATCCTTGATTCCATTGCTAACCACTATCGATCCTAAAGTATTTATTTGTTAACTCTTAATGAAAATATGAACAGTAACAATTGAATTCAAGCTTTAACCAAGATAAGTACATCTTATCATCAACTTACCTTGTCCTTTTCTACAAAGTCAATGAATGCAGCACGTTCCACTTCTATTGGATGCCGATTCTGATCATATAAAGCAATGATAAAGTGGAAAAAATTGCTTTTACGTAAATTATTCGGTGGTTGTTTTTCAAAACGGGCCCAGGCCACTTCCATTCGTGGTGTACAATGTGAATACCTATGGGGAAAAATGTATATGTATATTGATACAGATTAACAGAATCATTATAAATCAACGTTAATTTATGTATTATTGAAGTTATCAATCTGTAAATGCAAACAATTTTGAATCAAACCGAAAAATGCTTACATGATTCTCAAAGTGTTGATGAGAATAAAACAATCACTTGGTAGTTGGATAGAGGGAATCGACAAGAAACCCTGCTCAAGACAGATTTCGTACTTGTTGGGATTCATCAACAGTGCAAATCTGTAACATTGACGGAAATGATATCTTTCGAGAAACTTGAACCCATGTCACCTAGTGTTGCAGTGAGAAATGTCACTGAGCTACTCAGGGTGCTACTGACCTCCTGTAGGTTTGGATTAGCTCCACTAGTTGGTCACCGCAAGGTAACCACCTTCATGTTGTCTAATCTGAAGTGCTGAATGAATTCTATCGATCATTTTGGAATGTGGCCACCAGGTTAAGAGACTTAGGAAATCGATCATCACTTAGAACTAGATAAATATGAAGTTGGTTAGCCTCCACTGACCAATCAGGTGGAATTTACTTGCAAAATTCTGTCCCGCTGTTTCTTTTACAAACAGAATCTTCCAAATCTTATTGGCGACAAGCTTCGAGAGGTGATCCCTGAGGTTCTAATGAGGGGTGGTGACCGAGGAGGAGCCAACCAAGTCGGACATGAGAACAGTTACTCAGCGACGGGATTAGATGGAAGTCGCACTATGGACCATTCGATTCTAACCCAGTGGCTCAATGGTAACATGCTGGCCACGGAACCTGAAGGTCCTGAGTTTGACCCCTGGAGCAGAAGGGTCGTGGGTACACACTACTGAGGAGTCTACTGCTCCCAGGTTTCCAATGTTCCTCCAACTGATGTCAGTCCATGATGAATACCAACGTGAGACAAATAAATAGATCCTCACAAACCTCAAAACTGAATGAAATTCTTTATCTGTTTGACGTCAAAACTGGTGTAAAGAATGGATAACATAAGAGCGGTGTAGTATCCACCATCGTTTGACAAGAGGAATTAGAAGTCACTATGATTGATTACCATACATACAGAGGTTGAATGAACGCCGCTTCGATACTTGGCTTGTTGAGATTTTAATAGGTGAATCAGTTATTTGAGGGAGTAATTCATCTCACTAGGTTCTTAGTCTTACTACTGCTACAAATGAACCAACCATGAAATTAGTGTCGTTGAGTGTAGAAGCAGAAGGTTTTGGCTGAAGTTTAGACATTGGACACGGTGACGAAGGCTTAGGAATGCATAATATCTTTTTCACATTGACACAATCTTTTCTGTTGCCAATCATAAAGGCGAACCGAGAGGAATTTAAATAAGAACAGTTTGTCATTGAGAAGAAAATTACCTTGATATCAGTTACACAGTGATTAACGAAAGTCAGTTAGTTTTGAAGAAGAGTCATGACTTCTAAGGTTGACCTAGTTCTTTACTATTCATCAAATACGAAAAAGTTATACCTGCAAAACAATAAGCAGTAGTCATCGAATCTACAGAAAGTAAAAGATTAACCAAATTGACTAGGCGAGGTTAAATAAACCACCATGCGAAGGTTACACATAGCCATGTTAGAAATACAGCACTCGTCCGTGGCCTAAGATGTAAGAGTGTTTTGGTAGACATATTCCTGCGCAAATCAATGTGTATTCACTGTTCATATACGTGCTTTAGAAGGAGTGGCAATCTTCCACCAATCCCTTGGAGTCATAAGCGATAGAAAAGGTCAGGGAAGTCGATCTCAGTAATTTAAAGATTAAGGTTTTTGTCGTGACGTTTTAGAGTGCCCAGTTTGTTTCTACCAGTAATAATATCTTTATATTCTTGTGAATACCCAATAATATAAGGAAGTTACAACCGATGACGCATTCTTAACTCAGAGGTGTTCTTCAGTACAAATCATTGGTGACTTGGTGCAACTAGATATTGTGTCTCTGTATCATTTCAGAGGCTTTCCATAGATCCAAAGAACATATGCCCTTCTATCATTCGACGACACCATTTCAACTATCAAATATAGATCTACTCATTATATCTACCAGACACATCCATGTGAAATCACCCATGAACAGTAAAATCCTTTTATTGATTTGATTTGATAACCACAGCTGATCAGTCTCTACCACTACTTGGTTACTCAACGCTTAGAACATCTAAATAGTCTACACACTACACACATTCCTGTGAAATCTAAATAAAGATCCTAGACTAGACTAGACTTACGGCTTGTAAGTCTACCTCGTTGACTAGTTCAAATTGGTCAGCCACCATTGGCATAAGGGCTCCTGTGAGAATGCCTCAATATTACTAGGAGTTTCAGTTGGCGGCTGGCAGTGGAAGCCAAGACGCGTGTTTCATCCTACTTGGGACTCGTCAGCTGGATGTGCCTGCGTGGATTCCACTCCTAACCATTATCTAACATTAACCCCTAACAATTCTTAGTTTTCATATGGTTGTGGCCATACACATAACCCCAAGTGATGAAGATTCTGTTTTTCGTTTAAAGTAAGTCTAATTGAACCTGATTATAAATGGTGAATATGATCACTCTTGGTTTTTGTCCTCAATAGTTCCATATGCAGTCGCTAGACACACACACCAGCACAGACACTTCTACTTTAACCCACTAACATCGTCATCATGATTTGCAAAAGAAACCGTCAACACCAAAAAAACATTGAAAAAATGATAGGGTACGAATAATGAATGGTGATAATAATCACCTTCATAATGTAAAAGAAAAGAAGACAGGAGATAACAGAGTTCTAGTTACCGGTGTAAATCAATTATATCTTGTACCATATGATTAATTCGGTTGCGAAAAAAAAACGTGGGGTCATAATTTCGAAATTGATGGTGATGATGATGAAGGTGTGAAACAAGTTCACTTTTTCTCCATATCATTGACGTGATCATCATATATCATAATGTTCGCACTTCCTTCTTTTACCTATCTCCCCCCCGTAATCATCTCCTCATCTATTATCTTCGTTAGACACACATGCAGACACATTTCTTAAGTTATTTTAGTAGATAAGACTAGGAAAAACTTCAGTTCAACGTTGAGTAGACAAGTGGAAGAAATGGACTGCACAATCATTAGATTGCTCTCCCAGTAATAATGTGATTAATAATAGTAATATTATTATTATTATTGCTATTTTTACTATTATTATTATTGTTAATGGTGGCAGTTAAGGTTAAAGGTCCGGAAGTGTTCACTATAATTACACAAAAGATGAATATTCCAAAACCTACAAAATCTTCCAAATTTTTCTTCCGTTACGTGTCATAGAAACTGAATATCTAACCAGTGATTTGTGGCAGACATTAACGTAATTTTAACTTACTGTACAAGACAGCTAAGGAAACAAAGGGTTTTTTTCATGTAGCATACATTCACAGACAGTTTTCTATGTCAAACTGATGTCACTTGACTGGATTATTGAAAGTTTTTTTGGTAATAGCGAGTTGCTTAGCTTTTAACACTTTGAATGTTATCCATGGGAAGTCCTGCTTGATACAGGTTTCATGTCTGTCAAAATTCATTAGGAGATTTGAAGCCAATTCTTACAGAGCTATGGTTAGAGGTTTTACTAATAAGCTATCCTGGTTTGGATCTCCGTATAGTAACCGATGTAGTTATCGGTCGCCGAATATCGATTAAGTTTAGTAAGGTATTTCAATAGTTTGTCAGATTGTAAAACGTTTTTAACCTATAACTTCCTTGGAATGGAACTTAAAACGGTTAATGTGCGTTATAAATGAGTTAAGCTTCTGGTCACCTTTATTAAATCCGAGAGACAACCATATTATTTTCTTCGTTTGAGTACAATGTTCTGGTAGTTAATTCAAACTGCTAACATCCTCAGTGTTCCGGTGATACCGTCAACGGTTAACACACCTGAAGGTTTGGAGTTGGAACGTAGGAGTCAATTCCTAGAAATTTCTCCCATATCGGGTTTAGCAGTTGTTTGCAGTCATCACCAGAGCGTACCTGACATCCTCAGAAGACTGGTGTCCCCTTGGGGATTTAAGGTTGCGTTACTGGGTGCTGAAGATAGAGACTTTGGGTCGGTTGACTCTCACCATCTAACACAGAAATACAGAACACCATCGTATCGTTTCACTTTGGTCATTTTTCAGGACTTAATCGAGAAACTTTGATCGACGCTGAATGACCAGCAGACAGCCCCATGGTCTGGCCTCAGGTGACCAATTCGTGTATTCTAGAAGCTTGTCTAAGATTATGCAAAATACTTGTTCCCTGCTATTGATTTTCAGCATTGCTCTGTACGATGTTATTTTCCAAGATGTTTCTTTAAGGAAGAGAAAAGTATGAAATTATTCTAGCGGATTTCATAAAGATGTAGTCAGAGCAGCAAAATCTGTATATATCTCTTCATAAAAATGATCCGATTTAAGAAGCATATAAATCATTCTCAATGAAATAACTAATAATACTGACTGAAGTAACCAAATGTCTTGATGATGCCAACATTAACGATAAAATTATGTTATCATTTTTGACTATCTGAGGTAGGTGTGATTTGATAGTCTAGTATTCATACTAGATGATGATTGAAGACGAAATGAACATTTAGACCACTGCGGGATTTGAACCAGTGACCACCAGGTTTCCGACCCGATGCTCTACCAACTCACCTATGAGGTCCAACTGCTGACCAAATTTTTATTTCACCCCATTCACTAAGGATTTTGTCTGATTCCCATCTGAATTCGCGACGCTTTACCATCGCTTGGTCGTACTCACACTAGCTTCTCGGTTAGGACTTCTCATCCCAATTAAAATCTAACTGAATTGGAGAGGAGGAGCATCATATTGATTATCTTTTTTTTGACTATCTGTGATAGATGTGGTTTGGAAGACGAGTAATGACACTGGGTGACGACTGAAGGTGAAATGAAAATTTGGACCGTGGTGGGATACAAGTCAAACCACACCTATCTCAGATAGTCAAAATAATAATCAATATGATGCTCGCCCTCCCTTTTAATTCAGTTAGATTTGGATTGAGATGAGAAATCCTGACTGAACAGCCAGAATGAGTACGATCAAGCGGTAGTAACGCGTCACGAATTCATATGATAGTTGGGCGAAACCCTTAGTACTTGGAGTGAAATAAAAATCTTATCAGCGGTCGGACCTCATTTCTCAGTTGGTAGAGCACCGAGTCGGTAACTCGGTAGTGGCTGGTTCGAATTCGGCCGCAATCCAAATTTTCACTTCTCCTTCAACCAACACCCAGTACAAAATTATGCTTTTATTTGACATTAACTGACTATTCACCAATGTCTCCTATGGTCACGACAATTCACAGTTTATGTGATTATATTTCTATGCTTCACTTATCAATACCTATTTCTCAGCATTACTTAAAAGAACTATTACTTTTATGTACAAGCAACATTTCAGGCTGATGGTTGATGGCGTTGCCAAGAGATATCCCTTGGTCCCCCCTCTACCAGACATATTTACGTCACGTGTGGAAGACTTTGTGGAGAACTTAACTGAGTAAGGCCATCTATATCGAAGATATGTCGACGATATCCCAACTGTGTATAATAACTCAAGTCAGTTTACTTCAGTTGCAAACCGACTGAATGAAGTGCAGAGCAGCACAACCTTGATGTGTGTAGGAAAGGAAAATAACCCCTTGGCTTTCTTGGACATGTTATTTAGTTGATAGGCCGGATGGATCCAATAAAAAGATTTGTTATGCATAAAACTTACTTGGACAGGGCAATATTTGGATTACCACAGCTTTTGTTCAGTTTAGTACAACCAAACATGCACAGATGATACTTTGGAAGATGAGAGAAGAACACTGAGGCGAAACACTTTTGGAAAATGATTCCCCGTAGAAACTTACTAATCAGAACACCAAAACCAGCTCTTCACTTTGTTCCAAAGAAAGATATCTTCATCAGTCTTCCGTGAAAAGGTGACTCTCATAACACAATCCATAAGCAGAGACTTAACACAGCTGTTAGAAGGACTTATTGTGCAACTAGGGTTCGATTGACAAAAACCGTAACGCCCGTATATTCTCTCAAATCCCTTACAGCATGCGAACGACTATGTCACATCCCACTGAATCTACCAATTCAAATGTATGTGTGGTGACATATACATATGGGTGACTCACAGATCCATGTAGGTAAGCCCCTTGGAGCATATTCCAAAATGGCTCCAGAAGCAAATTCAATCACCTGAACCTATAAACTTTGGTTAGTAGCAGTCGCCTAAGCTTTTCGATCGCGAAACATATCCTTGAGACGGCTCACAAAACGTGTTGGGGACGGATCCGTAAATCTATGAAGGCCTTAGCTGTGTGTTCAAAAACAATCTATCATCATATTAAATCCTTATTGACGAATCCAACTAGTAGCTCAATTGGAAAAGCATCGGGCCGGAAACCTGGTCATCGCTGGTTCGAATCCGGCCGCAGTTCAAAGCTTTTATTTCACCTTCAATCATCACCCAGTATAAGTACTAGTCTGCCAAACCACGGCTACCTCAGATAGTCGAAATGATGATAAATAATATGTAGAAAAGCAAAGGAACAAACTCCCGGCGGGAAATATTACCTTGTCCCAGTAGTTACGTGGTTTGATAAACCTCTGTTGGTAAATGAAACATGAGAATTGATCATTGAACCCGTTGAACTGTCAAATAAACAACTAATTGGATCGTTTCCATTATTGTTATTGTTGTGATGGTTATGATTAGCAGCCACTGCACCAACCATCTGATTGCTCATTTGCGTTAAATGATGTACGGCTGCAACGGCTGAATATGCCGAAACCATTCCACCATTATTATGCGTACTAATAGTATTATTATTATTACTATTACTATTATTATCGTTACCGTTGTTACCATTACTATTATTGTTGGCATTAGTAGTAGTATTCTGTTTCCCTCCAGGAATTGGTGATATTGGCACAATATGATTAAAATTATTTTGTGATTGATTTGCAAAACAACTATGCAGTTGATTTGATCCAGTGATTAGCGTAAAGTTAGAGTGATCTGGTGAGGAAGTTGTACACTCTGGTGAATTATGATGAAGATGATGATGTTGTTGCTGAGCTATCCATGAACGTACCAAACCGAATTGATTCGTTGGATCTGTTGCCACACTTAACATTTCATAATCATCACGTTTCAAATCTGAATGTTGATGCTGATGTTGTTGGTGTTGTTGTTGCTGCTGTTGGAACATCCCTACACATGCAGCTGCGGATAAATTCGTAGATTGTGTAAAATAATTTGAAGTATTCGGTGTATTGATCAAGTGTGAATTCGATGTCAACTGATTCGGTATTGAATATTGTGAATCATGCATAAATGGGAAATTATTATTATTATTGTTTAAATGTCTGTCCACCATATTTAGATTTGAGCGTAAATCACTTGAATCGCGTGTTATTGATGATATCGATCCTAGTTGAGTGAATAATTGTGGTGGAATAGACTGATCTAATGAGTTAGTATTGCTTTGCAGCATTATATCATGTCCACGTGATGACAAATCAATATTTGTAGATAAACTCATTGTTGTGGCCATTACACTGATATAATGTTTGATATTTACGTTGAATACAGTGCTATCAGTGGTGACTGGCTTCACTCACCTGTTATGTAATGCGTAATAAAGAAGTCGAAGAAATCATGATTAATTTTATGAATTTATATATGAATCAGTATAACTGTTTTTATATTATACCGTCGTTGATTGGATCGAACTGACCGGTCTTTATTGGCATATGGACTCCTGTGCGGATGTCTCGATATTGCTTGTGTTCTTTCTAATTATAGTAGAGATGGATAGTGGCTAGCAGTAGAATCCAGGATGCGTATTTCTTCCTATTTGTCCCTGTAGGAACAACACCACTCACTGGGAGGCAGGTGCATCCAGCTGACGAGTCTTAAACAAGACGAAATGCACATCATGGATTCCACCGCTAGCCGCTATCCATCATTATCATATATGAATCACCTATTCTTCTTTGTATCAGTTAAATAATTCAGCGAGAACCCTGAAAATAAGTTCTTCAAGAATTCGGGTTGACCAAGAAATAATGATTCCCACATAGATATACAGAAAGTGCTTAATGCTGACGTGTAAACGGGTGTTATTTGTCAAAATGATAATTGTTTATTGTCACAGCGCGTTTCGTCCTATTCGAGACTCTTCAGCTGGAGATATCAACATCCCAATCAGTGAAAATGTTCCTACTGAGATTTCAGTCCACTACCCATCGCTTCAAATACCACTGCGTCATAAACTAGGCCATTGGAGCTCAGCTCGATTCGTTACCTCTTGAATTCAACTCACAGCAACTTACTAATTTTGTCAAATATTTTCATATTTCTTATGTAATTTTCATTTCATTATAATTCATCACAAACTGATATCATTTAGGGGGGCTGTTGAAACCTGTGAGTACTGGACAGTTGTTTCAACCCAGTACGGGATTCCTCAGTAGTACACAATTATGACCCCACCAGGGGTTGAACCCAAGAGCCTTAGATGGTGAGGATGATGTTCACCCAAAGCAAGCGTGTCTGAATCACCAGTTCGGAGCCTAGTTTGGTGAGTTGACTGATCAAGTTTCTCGACAGCTTCACATTCTGTTACAGTCAGTCTATTTCATGTGACTTTCTGTTGGTGATTATCAATGAGTTCAGCTAAGTTTGATTTTAAGGGTACACTTACCACCTAAGGGAGCCGTTTCATTCTAATATACGACTCCTCAGCAGTTTTCATGCACAATCTCACCATGGATTCACCCCAGAACAATAATACAATCTACCTTGGAACCAACCAATCATTCCGCCCAGTCCTTCAAATTGAACCGTTTACTGTTCAATTCTCAATAGTGACATACTTCGAGGTAAGATTTCCCGAAGTTCTAATTAGTGTCAATCAAGTCAAGTGTGAGAATGCGTACTCGTAAATGTTTCGCACAATATCGCGAATTGATAGAAGCAAGAAAATGGGAAGGATTGGCTTCTGATCCAGTGACTCAATTGTAATGAGGTCGTTGAGAGATTTGATAGGGTGGTTTGTGTACATTGCTGAAGAGCCAGGTAGTATGACAAAATAGCTGTCCAAGGCTCTCGGGTTTTCTGTGCTTCTCCAAGTGATGTCATTCTGTCATAAATACTGTCTTACAATGAACCAGTCAATCTCCACAATTCTCCAGCTTGGGGGCGATCAATGAAATCCATGACGTACGTTTCGTCGCACTTGGGGATCGTCAGCTGTCTCCTAGTGAGCCATGTCGTTCCCACCCACATTATGATGCGAACCCTACAAATCATGAGAGTAATTTAGTTGATTTTATTTGAAAGGTGCTTGGGTGGAATTATATTAGCAGATTCTCAAGTAATCCTTTTTCCAGACATTCTCTATCTTAATAGTATTTGTGAAAGTAAGTCAACAATATCCTCGATTCTTATGAGATCAGATTCAAACAGTAAAGTGTGTTTCGTCAAATCTTTTGTTTTGAATATGTTAGGTGGTCAGACTGCCTACCATCCCCTTACTGTTGCCAAGTTCCTAGATGTCTAACGAATGACGATTTCTGATTTGAATATACTAGTTTCCAAAGGAAATCATGTTGAAAATTCGTAACCATGTCAATTTGAACTGACAGTTTCTATACCTGTCTCCTCTTCAACAGATTGTTCCCAACTGACTGATTTCCTCTATACCATTTGAAAAAATGTCAGACTTTACTATCGGATGCGAAAATAGCCTATGTAAACTGCTTAAGTCTTATGGTTGCCGTTCTACTGATTGCTTTATATTAGAGAATGTTACAGATGTGATTTGTTTCTGAACGTATTTTCCTTCGGACCTTTCTTGGTCCTCCCATATCTCACTAATTTCCAAAATGAGCTTACGCCTAACCTTCCATATTAGGGAGATGAACGTATTTGGTATAACTCAGCCTCTTCTCTTGTGTTTTGTAAACTACTGCATCTTACCTATTCTCCTCTATTGTTCCCCTTTATTCTTTCCTGGCTTGCTGAGAAAAGACTATGCTGTGTTGCGTAGGACTTTGAAGATTGTCAGCAGAACTAGTGGTGTGCCTGTGTTGTGGAAAAACATCTTAATTCATGTAAACATGTGACAGGAGTTATTTTGTCAGATGACCAACACCCTGTTCACTTAAAGCTCTCTACGTGTCAATTGTCACGCAAGACCAGGAGCAAGTATATAAGACTTCACGCATGTACTACTGTATATAAAAACTCTCCAATACCGTAACTATTTACCTCGTCTCCTGTACGATGAAAAAAGTATTAGAAATGAACGAACTAATCAACGTTTAGGTAAGATCGATAGTAGCTAGCAGTGGAATCCAGGATGCGCATTTAGTACTATTTGAGACCCGTCATCTGGATGTACCTGCCTCCCATTGACTGATGTTTTTCCCACCGGGATTCAGACTTGGGACTGATCAACGATGGTATAATACAAGCAATAACACTAATCAACTTTTGTTTAGTAATGCAAACCAGTTAAAGCTTCTACAGCTTGCTGGTATTTGTGCATTATGAATCCAACTGTTAATGTGGCTGTATAACATGATTTAACTCTGCATTCTCAAGAAATTTGTAGTTGAAGTAAATATTCTTATTGTCTATTTGTAATCTGTGCTTATTTCATTTTATTATGCAACTGATGCTATACGACATGCTGGAAATTCTGTACAGTGGTCACGAAATATCTTTCAGAATAAAACTGGTATTACTGTTATTACCATCGTTAGTAATAATAATGATAATAATAATAATAATAATATCACTATTAAACAGTGTTTTCAGAAATGGTGGATTTTTCTGGTGTACTTGAGCAATATTAAACAGATCACTGTAACCCCAGGGATTTGGACAAATACAAACTTCATTGTATGGGATGTATTTTTACTTGTGTAATCCCGGTGTAGTATATTAGATTACACAAGTAAAAACACATCCTATACAATGAATCATACTAACTCGGTGCCCAAGTTTTTTCAAACCATCCAGTCCATTGTTGGTCAGGATACCTTCAAACAAACTTCATTATTTTCATATTTATATTTCCCAACGAATGAATGCAAAAGAAAATAAAGTTGTTTCAACTGACGTTTCGCTATTTAGTGCCAACAGCTTTGCCAAAGTTACAGTGAACCGAAATATACAATAACCCCCACTCTTAGCTTATATATGATCTAGTACTCATTGGTGGCTAGCTTCGAGAGGTGATTCCTGAAGTTCCAATGAGAAATCGTGACCGGTGGAGTCGAACATGAGGGTAGTCACTCAACGACCACATTGGGTGATGGTCTCGCTATGTTGCGAACTGACAGAAGGTGGAAATACTAACCACTGGATTCTTACTCAGTGGTAACGTACTGGACATGGAACCTGAAGGTTCTGGGTTCGATCACTGGCGGGGACATGAATGGTCACTGCTGAGGAGTCCCACACTGGGACGAGACGACTGTCCAGTGCTCCCAGATTTCCAACATCCCGACTGATGTCATTTCACGACGGACACCAACTTGGAAAATCCCTGAATCCCTCAAATTCGACTTGATAAGCGTTCTTGTATATGAATGATTCTATCTGATCAAACTGTTGAATAAAGATGATATCCATATGTAGTATATTCTGTATAAAGAGTGTGTGAATTACACATTGAGATTCGTATGTACACGGGAGTTGATAGTTACTACCCCATGCATAGTTGATTATGTCAATTTTTGGTGGGTGGGTTGAGACAAGGTTAAACCACGTTCTACCCCGTCGTCTCTATTAATTCAAAGAGATTCTGCTAGGAGACGTTCTTTCTAAAATAATTTTGATATTGTTAAAATCGAACTTGTGACCTGAAAATATAGCTATGGCTGATGTGTTTTAAAACTTTTTCTAGGGGGGCGGGTGGAAGCTCTTTGGTGTTCATTTCTTTCTGATTTTGGTTTCACGGTAAGTTTGTCCTATGATGCTGTATCGCAGTCGGAGTATTTTATTTTATCAACACAATTAGATTCGGAATCTAGAGGGATCTCGTCCTTCAAATGAGCTAAGGTGCTTTGCAATATGTTTGATGTTCATCGGCGTCACACACAATGGATGAAATTCGGAAAGTGCTCAACAAATACAATATAAGAGTGTTATATATATAGGACAAACTTCCCATTAAATCAAAATTAAGAAGAAATGAACACCAAAGGACTTCCACCTGACCCCCCTAGAAATCAAATGGAACTGAAAAAGCTTGAAAACACTTCAGCCATAATTTCGCATCACAAGGTCGATTATGAAAATATCGAAATTGTGCAAGTAGAGTGGCTTTAGAAATTATAAAGAACGTCTCATAGAAACAACTCTTCACACAAATGCCAACTTGGTTTGCATATCTATATCTATCTATATATAAACTTGTTTAAAAGTAATCCAGTGTACACAAAACAATCTTATCTAAAATGGTGTGATTCAAACACTTTACGCATAAATACATATGATATTAACTAAACAGGAAAAGTACAGTTATTAACTCCCACTTTTTGGTAAATTATAAAGCAACATTGTTTCATTCACCCACCTTTTTTCATTGAGAACAGTAGAAATCGATCAAATTTACGCATGTGTGTGTGCATGTACGTGTATATGCATAAAATGGATCTATGTGAATCCTCAAGGGGGTAACAAATAATCTGCAGATCTTAAGGGATTTTTCACAGGATTTCTGTCAATATATGCACAAGTAGAAGAAAGTAATAACACCAAGACTGATTCCACGCTTCAATGGATATTCATAACAATAGTTGTTTAGATGAGTACAATTCGATACACTTGCTGCTAGGGTCACAATTGATATGTTCTTGCATATTTCATAATCACACTATCATTAATCGATGAATATTGGTAAAAAAAAGTAAATAAAAAGTTGTTCTGTATTAATTGTAATTAGGTTCTCATTCAGTTAAGCCTCAGGGGAAAAAGTAAATCTTGAATGAAATAGTCGAAGATGGTATTTTTCAACGATCAATGAAGAAGAACAAGAAACTACTGTAAGGCCAACAAACCCTTAGAGATTCACTTGCTTGTTATGAGATGTGGTATATACCGGATCCTTCGGGAGTAAGACTGTTGGGAAATAAAAAGGAATGTCTATTAAAACTTGATAACTGTAATCAATATAGATTATTTTGAGAAGTTCATCAGAGTTTTACTTCTATAAATGGGAGACAGGGAGAAATAGAACTAGTGTTGGTGGTGGGTCTGCTAGTTGTTGTGTCTTTCACAAATTTTCAGTTTACTACAGGTTACCAAACCATAAAGAAACATGAAAGGGGAGACTGTCTTGTTAATAATCTATACAAAGGCACATCTACAAAATGAACTCTGAAAACCAGAAGGAATTTCAACCAATCATCATCAAGAAACTTCTTTTTATTACATCCATTGATTTCATCAGAATGCTTGAGTCAATGCTAAAACCCAGGGGATTCATAAAGGTCACAGGTTTGAATGATAATCAAATATGTGTAGGCCATTTGTATATCTATGGGTAAAACAGTCTCTAAGATTTGATTGGTGTTTTTTCGCTAGCCTGAAATTCCGTAATTCCTATCCTATCATTTCCCATTTTTCTCCCTATTAAGTTTTAAGAATTTTCAGTGGTGGAGGCCGGGGACAAGTAGATGAGGGACATATATACATAACCCATTGAATTTATAATGCTTTTAGGGGATTACAGATTTGGTTTTTCACTCCCATGGGAGACAATATCAGCGGCTTAATTGGTTTGTCAAAGCCTGATTGGTCAGAAAGATAGTGGACTGTACTTTGATTGGTGTGATCTATGGAGAAGTGGGTTTTTCGGTTCTAGTCCCCAGCTTAAAAAATTTCTGAACATTATGAGTAACTTCTTGAATGGTCTATTACTTTTCCTTAGTTTTTAGAAAAGGCATATTAAATAGTTGGGTCAGGAGAGTAAATTATCTTCAGAGGGTGACATGTGAGGAAGAAATGAAGGCTTGTGGGCAGTTCTGGAGCCAGGTTGAAAAGACTGGAGAGAATTGAGTAGAATGGAGACATGCTACTGAAGCCCTATTTTCCGCTAGGAACCCAATAGACAAATAATAATAATAATATGGCTTCTGGAAATCTCAATATACTTCCTTAACTGTTTCCATGTAAAATTTTGAAAGCTGTTTGAACGCTAACTGTATAACCTCTTTCTATAATATGTTTAGCTATAGATAAAGAGGGTCATCTCCCACCAGCGCTTATCGCAGTTTCATACTCCATTTATTTTTGAAGTCATTTAGGTAAGTGTTCTCTCACCCTCAACTGTTTAACTCGATTACTCCTCCCTATGTATGTGTGACCACACACATGCTTTCGACAAGTTGACGGTGTAGCTATGAGTAGTCTCGTAGGACCATTACTGGCTGATATTTATATGTCATACATCGAAAGTCTTGCTGATGATCTCATCACCAAAGTTTCTCTTTACAAGAGATATGTTGACGACATCATAGTGATTTGTGAGAGGCATGAGGATAAGGCTTGTCTACTAAAAAGACTTAACACCGTACAAACTCACATCAGCCTGACTTGTGAGAAAGACAATAATAATCTTTTGCCATTCTTAGACATATTCCCAAGTTGACGAGAAGATGATTCAATAAGACGGTTAGTTTACAGAAAGCCTAAATAAACAGGACAATACCCGAATTTTCACACTTTTTGTCCAATCCAATACAAGTGAGGTCTAGTGAAATGACATTTTAATAGGACTTATCGTATCAGTTCATGAGATACGATGATGGATGAAGATATCAAAGTACTGACCAAAACACATATGGAAAAAGGATATCCGTTGAAGTTTATAGACCGATGCAGAGGTCAAATAGTACCGAAGCCAACTGTATAGACACTTTCTAAGAAAAGCGTCTATGTCAATCTACCATACAGAGAGAAGCTAAGTAGTATCATTTTGAGACGTAGGCTAACTTTAGCCATGAAGAAAACATAGTACGCAGCCAATCTTATCACTGTGGAAAAAAAAACGTTTGCTTCAGCGCAAACCTAAACACTGCATCAGTGATTACGTAACATCCCAATGTGTTTACTAATTTACGTGTGATTGTGGTTACACATACATAGGGAAGAGTAGTTGAGCTAAACGGTTGAGGGTGGGAGAACATTTACCTAAATGACTTCAAAAATAAATGGAGTATGAAACTGCGATAAGCGCTGGTGGGAGATGACCCTCTTTATCTATAGCTAAACATATTATAGAAAGAGGTTATACAGTTAGCGTTCAAACAGCTTTCAAAATTTTACATGGGAACAGTCAGGGAAGTATATTGTTGAGATTTCCAGAAGCCATAGCCATGTACAAGTTTAAACCACCTCTATGTGCGCGAAAACAATTTGTTCTTACACTACACCTACCTTGGTGAACTTTGTTTTCAAGTTGTTATTCATCGAAGACTGACATCAGTTGGAGGAACAAAGGAAACCTGGGAGCACTGGACAGCTGTTTCGTCCTAGTATGGGACTCCTCAGCAGTGCGCACCCACGACCCTACCAACAGGGATCGAACCCGCGACCTTCAGGTTCCGCGATCAGCGCGTTACCATTGAGCCACTGGGTTAGAATCCAATGCTCCATATTTCCAACTTCTGTTAGCTCACGATATAGCGCAAACCGCCACCCAATGTCGTCGGTGAGTATTTGTCCTCACGGCCATCAGGCCTGACTCCACCGGTCACGACTTGTCAGTGGAACTTCGGGAATACTTCTCGAAGCTAGTCACCAACGAGCACTAGTTCAATTAAATTTTGAGGGGGTTGTGGAGATTTGGAAATATTTCAAGTTGTTATTCATCGAAGACTGACATCAGTTGTTTTGTTGCCAAGATTAGGATCAACTGTGTCACTTTTTGTCCTGTTTGTTCTCATCTTTCCTAATTTTAATCCCCTATTATGTTAATTGTTGTATTTGTCTTCCCACTCTTCGGTTTCATGTATATACTGACTTGACACAAGTAAATGTGTGTTGTCAGACTGTTCGAAATGTATTGCGCAAATACACATCACATATTGTTCAGATAAACTTCATCTTCTAATTACTCTATCAAAATTCATAAAAAGGATTAATTGTTCAAACTTTTACTGTGATTTCTTCTTTCGCAGTCAGTTTCTTGGTTTCCGATAACTGTCTTCAATTGAGAATCCCATATCGCTTCAATCAGAGTACCACTGCTTATTCTTGTCTTCTTATCCTCTCTGCTGTCGCAACGAAAAACAAATGAGGGAATAATTTCATTGACTTGAATCATAGTAAACATTATACTATCAGTTAATAAGAATATTAAGGATAGTCTTCATTTATTCGAGCCCATGAAATTATAACTTCATTTCAAGTTCTTATTCCTCATGGGCTGGAGAACCAGTAATGATTTAGGCTACCTGGACGGTTGTTTCATCCTAGTATGCAACTACTCAACCGGGAATCAAACTCAGAACCTTCAGGTTCCGAGTCCAGCACGTTACTGTTGTTTCTGGCTGAGTTGCTTTTAGGCGATGTTCATCATAAACTGGTATCAATTGAAGAGCTATTGAAAACTACTGGATGTCTATTTCTACCTTGTATGGAACACTTGAACAGTGCATACCAACGACTCCATCAGGAGCCGAACTCAGGCGCTTCAGGTTTCGCAGCCACCAACTGCAGATGATAGGTGTCTTCAGAAAGCGAAGCAGTAGCTTATGGTTTACGAACTGTGCGCTTTACCGACTGAACTAGGTGACCGAATCATCAGTTTCAGTCCAGTAATTGATAGCAGGATAACAGTAGTGTAAGTTTTATTATTAGATATGGAAAGGTATTGTCATCCAGACTTTTGCTACCAGTAATTAAAATAGATGTTCTTGTACACTAGCACTAAGCGTGTTGTAATCAACTTAAAGTAATTCAGCAAAAGCTTGCTATAGTTACTTTAAGAGAAATAAAACAGTACTTCTCCAGTGATCTATCTAACAAAAAATCTAGTATAGTCTACTTGAGGGCTAGTAGTAGTAGTAGTAGTTTCGGCCTGTGTGAAACTCACCAGCTAGATTCACCTGCACCCCAGTGAGTGATAGTGTTTCCCCTGAGACTTGAACGCAGGATCCATCTCTTCAAATGACAAATCTCTATATTCACTAGGTGGCTGAGGCACGATAGCCAATTCTTTAGGGAACTGATGCTCTCTCTGATACTGAACCTCGCGTCACCCAATGTTGCAGTCATCAGCGTTGCCACTTTATGATCTGTATGACTCACTCATCACTCACAAATGAGCAACATAAAATCGGATGCACTACAGTGACTGACCAATGTACGCGGTTCAGTCCTACAGGAGGTCGGTTGGTGAATCTCATATTCCGGTGACTACACTCCAAGTTGGTCAATAGAATCTGCTCAACACTTAAAAATATACAATATAAAGTTAGTTAGCTTGCAGTGACCATCAGTGTATTGAATACAGTCAAACAGGAGGTATATCACTACCCGGATGGCTCATTGGTAACGTCATTGACTGCAACACTGGGTGGAGCAGGTTCAAACCTTATAAAGGACATCAATTCCATCGGGTTGCAGATATGCCTCACTCACGATCTGTAAGCATGTTTTGAAATCAAATTGTAATAGATCTGTCTAACATACTTCAGCTTGCTAAAGTGAAGCCAATCACTGACTAAAGTAAACAATAATAAATATATGGCAGTGAAGCATAATAAACAATCTCCAAAGAAAATCTTCACTATGCTATTTTCATCTAAAATCAACTTAATTTTTATTGAGCACTTGTAGCTTACGGTGTGAATTTTCAGAGTGATTTAATTCCTAAGAATGGCAAACGTTTCACTTTCATGCTAGACATCATCATCAGTGCGTTACAATTTCACAAAGAACTTCAGGCAAACAAAAGAAATTAACCAATCATATAGTCTCACACCAGTCTGAGGAAAAAGGGGGCAGGAAGTTGGCCAATCAGATTTGGCGTTCGCCGGCGCACTCACCAAACAACCAGTCAGATTAATGATGGATCGTGGCTAGCAGTGGAATCCAGGATGCGCATTTCGTCCTATTTGGGACTCGTCAGTCAGGTTACCCGGTAAAGCAGTGTTATTAATTTCTATAATTAACTGG